GTTTAGGTGCGTTTTTCAGGTGCCAAAAACAAGCTATTCTGCTCCTGTACTACAGGTTGCGCATAATAAAAGATTAAAAAGGCTTCAAAAAATTGCGTAGCTACGCTCATGCTCAGTGTGACTGGGGGCTTAAGTACATGGAAAGTTTTACACAATTTTTATGCATGGTGTGTTGTTAAAACATTCTGCTTGCTGCAATTGATGGGCAGGTTCAAACCAATGCATTGCAGTAACGTGCGTCTGTTTACGCAATGCGCAGCTAATCAGGGTGCTTGTATTGGTGTGTTGGATGCCATTCATTTTGATGGTCGCCCATGGCTTGCCACAATGCACTGCATTACCAAAAATGCAGGTGCAAATTTTAATTCATTGTGGTGCGCTGGCAGCCCATTATAACGAATAGGCTGTGCTAATGTGTATGTTAACGCACATGCGTTAAATGCACTGCAGTGGTCTGGTGTGACTGGGCTCTAACGTGTTGTACAGAACTTCTCCACCTTTGGAAAATGGATTAGAAAATGCACCACCATGCATGTCTGCTCCAGTATTCATTGCGGCAATTGCAGTTTTCAAGCTCACCTCTGGGGTTGAAGTTAGGATGCTACATGGCAGAAGATTCAAAACTTCACTTTATTTTTAGTTGTGTATACACCGGGGAAGGATTAGAACCTTTGTCTAGTTTTTACTTCTATCGAGGACTCCATTAGAGAGAATTCCCTGAACGTCCTGTCTTGCTCACAACCGTTTCACCAGACAGGAAGTGAGGGAAAATCTGCAACGGGGACATAGGCAGCAAAAGACATCTGACAGGCACTCTACCCTTCCCCTAACTTCTGGTCTGCCAAACAGTTGTCAGCATGATAGTGTCAACAAATGAAGGTAAAAACCTGACAGGGGTTCTAATCCCTGCTCTTATCTAAAACTAAAAAAAAACATACATTTTTAGTTCAATTACATTCAGGCAAGGTGCACACCATTGTGCTGCAGTGCAATTTTAACTGCGTTGTACACGTTGTTCCCATTAACTTCTATTAGACTGTGCATTTTCTGAAAGTGCTGGGCACTGATGGGGGCACTGGTGGGTGGCACTACTGGGTGGCACTGATCATCACTGATCATCGTCATTCGGCTATAGCGGTGTTACCAAATGATTAATTTGTTATTTGTGTTCAAAGCAAACTCACCCATGTCTCCATATTTTTATGTCTCTCATTTTGAAAAACACCTCCTGGAATTTGGGGCAGTGGCCATCTTGAATAAGGGTAGATAATTCATGCAGCATTTACTTCCTGTAATCCATCTGCCCTTAGCTCAGGCAATGGCTGAGCTGAGAATACCCCCCCCCCCACACTCCTGACATCATTTGCCTAGGCATGGAAACCAGGAAGTTACATAAGTAAATGCTAGCATTTACTAATGCTAGCAGCATAAGGATCAAAAATAGTCCATTCTGATTGAGTAAAGTTCTGCTTTAAGTCTCACCACTTGGTGTGCTTGTCCATAGCCCTTTCAATTTACTCTTAAATCAGAACAAGACCACTGTGGGTCCCCAGGATTCTTGCCATAATCCGACTTCAGGTCGCCAGGGCTATTGCCATAATCCACTGTGGTTCCCCACGATTCTTGCCATAATCCAACTTCAGGTCGCCAGGGTTGTTGCCATAAATCCACTGTGGTTCCCTACGATTCTTGCCATAAACCAAATGTGGGTCTCCAGGGTTCTTGCCCTAATCCCATTTCAGGTCCCCAGGGTTCTTGCCCTAAACCAACTGTGGGTCCCCAGGGTTCTCGTCCTAATCCCGCTGTGGGTCCCCAGGGTTCTCGTCCTAATCCCACTATGGGTCCCCAGGGTTCTCGTCCTAATCCTGCTGTGGGTCCCCCAGGGTTTTTATCCTAATCCCGCTGTGGGTCCCCCCGGGGTTCTTGTCCTAATCCCGCTGTGGGTCCCCCGGGGTTCTTGTCCTAATCCCGCTGTGGGTCCCCCGGGGTTCTTGTCCTAATCCCGCTGTGGGTCCCCCGGGGTTCTTGTCCTAATCCCCCCGCTGTGGGTCCCCCGGGGTTCTTGTCCTAATCCCGCTGTCCCGCTGTGGGTCCCCCGGGGTTCTTGTCCTAATCCCGCTGTGGGTCCCCCCGGGGTTTCTTGTCCTAATCCCGCTGTGGGTCCCCCGGGGTTCTTGTCCTAATCCCACTGTGGGTCCCCCGGGGTTCTTGTCCTAATCCCGCTGTGGGTCCCCCGGGGTTCTCGTCCTAATCCCGCTGTGGCTCCCCCCGGGGTTCTTGTCCTAATCCTGCTGTGGCTCCCCCCGGGGTTCTCGTCCTAATCCCGCTGTGGCTCCCCCCCGGGGTTCTCGTCCTAAATCCCCCCCGCTGTGGCTCCCCCGGGGTTTGTCGTCCTCCTAATCCCGCTGTGGCTCCCCCCCGGGGTTCTCGTCCTAATCCCGCTGTGGCTCCCCCGGGGGTTCTCGTCCTAATCCCGCTGTGGCTGGGTCCCCCCGGGGGTTCTCGTCCTAATCCCGCTGTGGCTCCCCCGGGGGTTCTCGTCCTAATCCCGCTGTGGCTCCCCCGGGGGTTCTCGTCCTAATCCCGCTGTGGCTCCCCCGGGGGTTCTCGTCCTAATCCCGCTGTGGCTCCCCCGGGGTTCTCGTCCTAATCCCGCTGTGGCTCCCCCCGGGGTTCTCGTCCTAATCCCGCTGTGGCTCCCCCCGGGGTTCTCGTCCTAATCCCGCTGTGGCTCCCCCCGGGGTTCTCGTCCTAATCCCGCTGTGGCTCCCCCCGGGGTTCTCGTCCTAATCCCGCTGTGGCTCCCCCCGGGGTTCTCGTCCTAATCCCGCTGTGGCTCCCCCGGGGTTCTCGTCCTAATCCCGCTGTGGCTCCCCCCGGGGTTCTCGTCCTAATCCCGCTGTGGCTCCCCCCGGGGTTCTCGTCCTAATCCCGCTGTGGCTCCCCCCGGGGTTCTCGTCCTAATCCCGCTGTGGCTCCCCCCGGGGTTCTCGTCCTAATCCCCCGCTGTGGCTCCCCCCGGGGGTTCTCGTCCTAATCCCGCTGTGGCTCCCCCCGGGGTTCTCGTCCTAATCCCGCTGTGGCTCCCCCCCGGGGTTCTCGTCCTAATCCCGCTGTGGCTCCCCCCCGGGGTTCTCGTCCTAATCCCGCTGTGGCTCCCCCGGGGTTCTCGTCCTAATCCCGCTGTGGCTCCCCCCGGGGTTCTTGACAATACTACTATGGGTTCCTTGGGTTTACGTAATAATACCACTGTGAGTCCCCAGGGTTCTTGCCATATTACCTCTGTGCGCAAGGAGAAAGATGGGAGACACCCTGGACTGGCATGATTGTTGCTGGTGACATATCAAGGCCCCGCTAACATGCGCATTCTCAGCAGCAGGATGAATGAGATCTTGTGCGCATGCGCAGGAGTTACACCATCCTGTGTGTAAAGACCCCACACCTAGAAGAAGCCCAAAAGATTTCGCCTATTCTGTCTTTCCTGTTTCATACAGGTCCCCTTTAATTGAGTGTAGGAAGCAGAGGCAGCCATTTTAAGTCTTGGCAGCCTTCGTCTGTAGAGCTAGGAATCTTCTCAATTGCTGAATCAGCTTCACCCTCCTAGAACTGCAAATGCTGCTAAAGATCAGTACTTAGGGTCACTTCCTGTTTTCCAAACTGTTCATTTTGAAGCAGATAAATCTTTGCAGGCTGTCTGCATAATAGTCTGCTTTGCTATTGACTACACTGTATCTACAGCTTAACCATTTTATTTTTGTTTTTGGATTAAAACCCCTGTCATGTTTTTATTGTCTGTATGCCTGCTGGGGTCATTCTCGGTTTCCTTTTGCCAGATCATTTAATGTTGGTGTAAATGATCTGATTCCTGGGCAGGCAGCTTCTACACCCCGAGCATCTTCAGGATCTCCTTGGCCTGTAGTGTAATGCAGCTTTTCTCAACCTGAGCGCTGACTTGCTTTGCCAGTTCACCCGGCCATGTGGGGGGCCAAATATACACTGAATGAAAGTGAACCTCAGCCAGCAAGAACGTGTCTGGATCATCCATGTGTGTAGGTCTGCATTTTTTTTTAACCACTTCCAGTCCGGACACTTTCACCCTCTTCCTGTCCAGGCCAATTTTCAGCTTTCAGTGCTATCACACTTTGAATGACAATTGCGCGGTCATGCAATGCTGTACCCATATGAATTTTTTAGCATTTTTTGAGACAGATAAAGCTTTATTTTGGTGGTATTTATTCACCACTGGGACTTTTATTTTTTTTGCTATGTAAATTAAAATGTCCAAAAATTTTGAAAAAAAGTGTTTTTCTTATAAAATTTTGCAAATAAATAGTATTTCATCATAAATCTTGGCCAAAATGTATTCCGTTATATTTTCAGTAAAAAAATAACCCAAATTAGTTTATAACCAAAATTATAATTTTTTTAATTTTTTTTTTTTACATTTTTTTAATTTTTTTTTATATTTTTAATTTATTTTTTACATACTGTCACCCTAGCAGTACAGTGTCACTGTACTACTTGTGGGGGGTGATGAAGATTTTTTTTTTTTTTTTTTTTTTTTTACACTGATTGCTTTTACACCCATAAAGGATGTAAAAGCAATCATTTCTCTTTCTCTCTAGCTGCATTCTTGCAGCCATTGAGAACTACCGAGTGAGCTGTGATTGGTCACAGCTTGTCACATGGTACAAGGCTATTGTGAATAGCCTTGTACCATGTGACCTCTGTGATCATTCACAGATTTCACACGTAGTAAGCAATGATGTCACAAGTGACATCTTGCGTACTACTTTGCATGTGATCACTGATTGGCCAATGAGTGATTACATGATCGGGACCTCACATAGAGGTCCCGTCCGACGATCAGTGTTCCACTGTGTCCAGAGGACACAGCGGGCACCAGATCGCGGTGCTGTGCGCTCCCAGGGAACGTGCACAAGCATGGTGCAGGGAGGCCATTTGTAAACGGCCACCCAACCCTGCACTGCCACCGTCCCGCCGTTTATATACAATGGCCGGACGGGAGATGGTTAAAAAAAGGCTATATGTATGTGGCTGTGGGTGTATGTATGTATGTATGTATGTGTGTGTGTGCAGATGGCTTGGAAGCAGGGGCGGACTGACAACTCATGGGGCCCCGGGCAAAAGGGGATCATGGGGCCCCTGTGTCTTTGCCTACACTCAAAGTACACCCAAAAAAGCCTATAAAAAAGGTAACGGGCATTTCATGGGGCCCCCTACTGACCCGGGCCCTCGGGCAGTGCTCGAATGGTCAGTCCGCCCCTGCTTGGAAGAATAGAGGACATTCCTAATGAATAACAGAGCATGCCCAGACTGAGTGGCAACACAGAAGGATGATATTCACCCTCAACAGTGTTGCCACCCTGCACTTGGGGACTCCAATGAGCTAGCACTAATAATAGACTTTGAAACCCATAGGCAGACAATATATTTTTTGATGCTTAACTGCAACAACCATCATTTTATTCTTCAGGGCCTTTGATTTCAGAAAATATATCACATTTGGGGGTTCTATGTAATTTTCTAGTAAGCAATTGCAGATTTTTTTCATGTATGTAAGAAAAGTCCAAATTGGCTTTGTTTTGCAAATGGTTACTACAAGGACAGTCACCAAAATGTTGGTATTCCCCTTTGGGTTAGAATGAGATAGTCAGGCTGGATAGCAAATAAAAGAGTAGATTTCCCAGTTGTCAGTGCGGTCATTTTGGAAACCAGAAAGGGTTTGGTCTTTTTTTTACTTTTTGCAGTAAGAAATAGGCCTTAGAAAAAGGAACTGAAATATCGTTCTTTCTGTGTAAGCCAAGAAGTCTAGGTGACTCCAGGGCTCTAGTGGAAGGAAAACTGCAGACCCTCATCAACCAGTGGAAACAAATTTCATTTATTTTACAAAGTAGTAACCAGGGGCAGACTGACAATTCATGGGGCCCACGGGCAATAGGGGATCATGGGGCCCCTGTGTCCTTGCCCACACTCAAAGCACACCCAAAAAAGCCTAGAAAAGGTACCAAGGGCATTTCATGGGGCCCCCTATTGACCCCGGGCTCTCGGGCAGTGCCCGAGTGCTCGAACGGTCAGTCCGCCCCTGGTAGTAACCTACAATTCTCTTTCAGGGCCCCAATTCCTTTTTTGTTGCTAACTGTTCCCAGTAAAGTCTACAGCAAAGCTGGAATATCCACAAGAGATGGTAAACTAACACATTTTAATTCCAGTCCAGCAACTTAAAGACTGATGTGTTTTTATCTCCAAATTTCCGTTGGAGCTTCTGGCCATTCTCAAACTGCTCACTTCCTTTATTGATGACAAGATTTTAATCGGAGACAAGATTTTAATCGGAAACCATCTTTTCAAAAAAAAAAAAGATTTTTATCATCCTTTTAGTGTTACTAAAATATAAATGTATTCTATCGAATTCTTTGTTTAAAAACATATAAGCATGATGTACCTGCCCATTGACCATTTTTGATTGTATCAAAGGGTAAAGAAATGTGTAAACATCCTTTACCATGTGAAGCAACCGGGGAAGGATGTAAAGATGGTGAGATCTAGGAAAGTATAGAGATTTGAGGGTGGGCTACGTCTTCTAAGAGTATGGAGGAAAATGGTAAGGAAACTTGCTTAAAATAATACCTTATGCTTTAAATAATGGATTGTCCTGTTTTTATGAGATCTTTGGGTGTATAACATTTAAAGAAAGGGTGTATGTTACAGGGAGCATGGGGATCTCATACATCTGCTATGGCATCCCTAATTTCAGATTTACTGGACAGGAGTAGAGGGTGAATGGTTGACCCAAACTATTGTATTCTGGGTATACTGGACCCACTAGAATGACAAGAGTCACTTAGGGAGGCTATTTCAAGAGCCTTATTTCATGCCGATAAACTTGTTCTGGTTCATTGGAAGTCTGATACCCCACCTACGTTAGCTGGGTGGATTAAACACAGTGACAGCATGTGGCTTGAACGTCTTATCTGTAAACATAGAGGCTGGTCAGGTTGGCTGGATACACCAGGCCTGAGCCCGCTGGATTGTGTGACTGGCAGGCTGGGAATCCAAGCATAATCTAGTGGTACTGCTCAAATCTTGGTGTATCTCCTTCAGAGACTAGATTATTATGTTTCCATTTACTCTCTGCTATTTAACCACTTTTGGGACATCCGCCTGCAATGTACTACGGACGGATGGCAGTTACAGGACCATTGATGTACGCATCGCTGGTCTTTTGCCAGCACAGGGGTGCTGCTCCTGAGCGAGCACACAACCTTACCCCCCTTCATATTCGCTGTGTTCACTGGACACAGCAGAATGAGAAGCCCTGTAATCGGGTCACGGTGATCACATGATTGCTAAGCGATCACATGATCACAATGACAACAAAGCTTTTATGAATCAATTTGCTTCATAAAAGCTTTGCTTCTGTTCCTGGAGAGATGTGATTGGTCCACAGCACTCACACGATACATGGAGCAAATCCCAGCACCCTGTACCATGTGACCAGGTGGGGCCAATCACAGATCACTAGTATATTGAATTGTCATGAACTTAACACATTCATGTCAGCTCAAAGCAAGCTTTGCATTGCAGAACAATGATCTTCATTGCTCATGCAATGCAAAGTGTAAAAAAAAAAAAATCCCTGATCACCCCCCCCCCCCCCCTCCCCCAGAGAAGTTACTATGAAAAAATTGAAAGACTGTTTATTTTTTTATTAACTACTTGCCCGCCAACAATGTGCGGACGAGCGGCGACTCTGGGCAAAGCGACATAATCTTACGATGCTTTCTATTTACGTGTGTGCGTGCACATGCGTGTGCCCCCCACTGCACCCTATGCCGTCCAGGGAGAGAGGAACAAACACTACATTTTACATGCACACATTAGATTAGCACATTTAAATCTTTGATTGCCCCTATTAACCCTTTCATCACCCCGCCACCCAGCCAGTGCCATTAGTACAGTGTCAGTATATAGAACTGATCACTGTATTACTGCCACTAGCAACATCAGGGTCAGTTAGCACCCCTCTCAGCCAGGGTCAGCTAGTGTTAGATTGCCCACACATTATCACACTCACTCTATAGGTCGCTGATCACCGCCATTACTAGTATAGTGTTTGTACAGATTAATATATTGATCATGAACAGAACTATACTAGTGCCTCCTTTGTATAGTGTCCCCAAAACCGCAGTGTTAGCAGAATCAGCCCCATTCGCTGCCAGAACTAGCGTTTAGCCCCTCAGCAGTTTTTCAAGGAAGATTTGTATCAATTGATTGTGGGTCAAAGCAATTTATACATACAACAATACATCGTCCCCCACCCACATTCAGCTCTTGCCAGACAATTCGCATGGAAACCTATCACAGTTTCTGAATTTATAACTTTTTTTGATCGAACCCTCAACATGGGCATTACAAAACAGAATAAATTGCGGCCATATTGGTCTACAGACCTGATATATCATTATACCCATTTTCTTTGCTGTTACATATATGCCCAACATGGACCAGCAATGTACTGGTACATTGCTGGACTTTGAGTGGTTATACCGGGAGGATGCCTGCAGCATCATTCTGATATCGTTCCGCGGTTGGCTTTTGTGTAAAAACAATCCTAGCCTCTGGATTGCTTTTACAAGCAGTGGGAAGAGACTCCCCCACCCCTCCTGCCACCTTCCAAGCTTTACTTGGGCTGTCCTGTCCCTCCGGAGAACCCAAAAATGCAGCTGGCAGTTTCACTGGCTGACAATAGAGCTGATCAGAGACTGGATTGCCTCCAATCATCTCTATGATCTAAGAAACTGGAAGCTACAACCATTTATATAATTTCCATTTTGCCAGATATTAATAGCGCCATTTTAAAATTGGGAAAGCATCTGATTACACTGATGTTGGTGTGATCAGATGCTTTAAAGGCAGAGGAGATATCTAGAGTCTAATAGAACCCAGATTTCTCAGAAAAGAGTACCTGTCACTGCCTGTTGCTATCACAGGGAATATTTACAATACCTGTGATAGTGATAAAAGTGATTGAGGAAAAAAAAAAAAATGAAAGGGACCGTGATTTTAGACCAAAAAAAAAGTATAGGTTCATGAGGTATGTTTATGTCATCACACTAGATTTAGGCCAGTCAGCAGTCAGATGATGGTTTGTGGGAAGGCACCTGCATTTGGACACGTTTGCTATTATTGTGAGAAGGGAAAGAACTGGCACCACAACTAATTAACATGTTTTCCTTGGCAGGTTGAAGAAGCACTATCGCCAATGTCTGCCTGTCCATGGACAACAATTATCGGTAAGTACTTTATTTATATTTATATTATATATATATATATATATATATATATATATATATATATAGATTGTAAGCTCCAAGGAGCAGGGCCCTCGAACCCCTCGTGTATTGAATCATATTGTTACTGTACTGTCTCGTGTACTGTCTCCCATTATAATTTACAGCGCTGAGAAAACTGTTGGCGCTATATAAATACTGTATAATAATAATAATTATGTACATATACCCAGGGGCGGACTGACCATTTGGAAACTCGGGCACTGCCCGAGGGCCCGGGGTCAGTAGGGGGCCCCATGAGATGCCCCTGGTACCTTTTTCATAGGCTTTTTTGAGTTTGGGCAAGGACACGGGCCCCATGATCCCCTATTGCCCGGGGGCCCCATGAGTTGTCAGTCCGCCCCTGCATATACCTTCTCCAAGATAATTTTTTCCTTGCTCTTTCATCTTGGTGTATTCCCCTCATTTCCCATCAACGATTTGTTGTTGCCTGGCAGCATTGCACATAGCAAACCTTTGCATAGTGACTTATGATTTTATTTCAGGCAAAAAAGCCATTAGTAGTCATTGAAACTATATATCAGAAGAAAAAACAAATTCCATATTTTAAGGTTGCATTTCAAAGGTAAACTTGCAGAAGAATTTACCAAACCTAATTCACATGTTTACATTGTTATAATACACAGATCCTTGCCTAGTGCCATTAATTTTGAATAGGACCCCAAGATACATCCCCCACGAACCACATTGGACCTGCATTTATTAGCACCACAATGTACAGATGTGAGCCATCCGTGGATTGTGGTGTGCTAAAAAAAAAAAAAACAAGGTGCATTAAAAGGCCTGTTGTGGTGTATTATCAGCCAATTCAGAATGAAAGGACTGTCCTACCGCATGTAAATGCGTAACATAATGAATATTAACATATGCAGTGATGCACTGCAAAGGTCTGAATCCAGCCTTAAGCAGCATCTTGACATTAACCAAAGAATGATTGATAGGGTGAGTTTGAGACTCCTCAAGACTGTCAAATTGTAATTTTTTATAGTTGGTATGTTCAAACGTTCACAATCAAAATTTCCATCTTTAGAAGCATAATGTGATCTGATCTTGGCTGTGTGGGATATAAAATTATAGCACATGAAAAACTGTTAGCACCGAACTAAAGAACTTCGCGGCTCCTGTTAATCTTGGTTTCAATGCCATTCACAATGGTAGAGTCAGATAATGGTTTAAAAACGTTTGGTACAACCTTCAGGCCCCTGAAAGGGACATCCACTATATATACATGTGCAGATGTCAGAACACTGATATCGGTAGCTTTCGATTACACTGGATGGCACAAAGACCCTAATGTAGTCACTACGAGTGTTGCAGCTGTCATCCGTTTGAGAAGTAGTCCAAAGAGACTACCAAGGTAATCCTAAACCGAGATTTGCATTTATTTATGTATTTTGGCCACTAGGAATAAGAATATTTATACGGTATTCTAGTTAACTTGGATTTTAATTCAAACCCCCAAAGCTGTATTTTGATAAATGGGAATTTTATTAAAACTGGAAATTGCAAAATCTGGTGCAATTCTACATGGAAACCAGTTAGAGTTCAGGTTTTATTGCCAAAGCCTAATGAACAAGCTGCAATTAGAAGCTGATTGGCTACCATGCACAGCTGTACCAGATTCTGAGTGCACCAGTTTTAGTAAATCCACCCCTGTGTTTTGGGAAAGGAAGGAGAACTAAATTGGACAGATTGATTGGACATTGGTTCAAGTTTTATAGATCTGTTCTGGTTCCAACCTTCAACTATTACTGAGTGTGATATTAGCTGAATGGTCAATACTGAATGTTATTATTTTTCTTATTCTTCCCATATAGTTCCAAGGGGGAAATTGTAAGGTCATCATGAAAAGATTACTGTCCGCTTTTAAGCGGCCAGACAAAGAAGAAAGGGAATCTATACTGGAAGGATCTGAATCAGGGAAATATCAAAAGTACATCAGTATTAACAGCGATGCATCTGGATCAAGTACTTCTTCTGAAGAGTCCTCTACAGTCACCTGTCCAACCTGCAGAGGGATAGGGAGGATTCCCCGAGGTATGGCAGCTTCCATGTTTTATAGAAGTGTTTTCCCAACATTTTCAGTGGAGGCTTCCTATAAAATTCTGCTGAATCTCCAGACACCCCCTTCTAAAATGTAAAATTCTAAACTAATAGTTTCACATATCACAGCAGCATCCACACACGTGGGCCACCCATCACTAGAGGGGATTTACAAAGCAAATACTCCTTCACACACTGGTGTTGACTAGTATTCAGTGTTTCTCTTCTCCCTCAGTTTTTCCCCTTCCTTCACTCAGCTAATGTGACCCCAGTGGTGAGGAAGAGAGGCGGGAGGGGCAAATGAAGATGCGATGTGGGCGTCCAAAGTCCTTATCATCCGATGATGTCATCAGTTTTTTGGATGCCAGTGGCTGGCCTGCACAGTGACCAAGGTTGTAAAGTCAACAATAAAAAAACAGCATTTTGTCATTGAAAAAGGCTGTTTTATAGTATAGGGTGGGTGGTTTTCGTGTTTGGAAAAGTCCTGGAGTTCATAACCTATTTGTTCAGAGTAGTTTGCTTTGAGCCCTGGATTGGAATCTAGAGCCCTGAGAATTGGATATGTTTCTCCAAGTACCGTACTTTGTTCTGCTGCACACTCAAACATACGAATGTATGGGTCAATTGGCCTTCCAAATTGCCCCTTATAAGGTAGGAATATTAAATTGTGAACTTTTTTTGTGCACAGTTACTGATGTGAATAGCTCCAAGACCTGCTTTATATTTAGGCATTCGGCTAATTCCTGAATAAATGGTTAGATGTTTTCACTTTTTATAAGAACTATACCAAATGTTACAGTATTTAGAGGGAACAAAACATACTGTATGTGCTTGTATGGTGACTACTAATCTCTAACTATCATGTGTTAATTTATGGAACCACAGCCTCTGTTTTTGTGCACAGAAAATGGGAACTGAAATTGAAACGTCACTTCTTCTTAACAGAACATAGATTGGATTAAAAATAAAATAAAAAAACAGAGAAACCGTGCATCTAGCTATAGTAGTTTGTTGGTGCTGGTTACCATCCTGTAACCTGCTCTTGATATATTCAACATGAATGCTAACTGGGTGCTTTTGGCATTAACTCAACAGTTTTATTTCCTCCAGTTTTTATAAATGCTGCACTACAATGTTCATTATACGACAGAGTTGTATTGTTTTTAAAACCACCAAAAACGGTGGCATCTATCACTGTGTTGTATGTAATAACCATAGGCTTAAATCCCACACAATAATGACTCTGTCCCTCATCTATTGCAGTGAACAAGATGAGACTTTGTTTTTTTGTTTCAATTTAGGCCAAGAAAAGGAGTTAGTAGCTTTGATTCCATACAGTGACCAGAGGCTACAACCACGGAGAACGTAAGTTGGGATCCTTTTATATTTATGTATCACTGTGTTTTATAGCTGTGTGTTTTAGTCGATTTACTATTTGTAATCGGGTATCGGATTCATTACAAGAAAGCAATGTACAAATTAGTTTAGTTTTTGTTTCTGTAGTTTTTGTTTCAATAATTCAGTTTCCAAGTAATATGAAAATGGATGCAAACGCTCAAGATATTTCACCTTCATGCATTCATGAAGATAAAAAACCTGTGTGCAGCATCCACCCCAGCCCCCCAAATACTCAAGCCCCCTCTCAATCCAGCGATGTACACACGAGTCTCGGCTATCCCAGGACTCCCTCTTCTCATTGGCTGAGACAGAAGTGGGAGCCATTGGCTCCCAGTGCTGTCAATCACAGCCAGTGAGCTAATGAGAAGAGAGAGGGGGCGGGACTGAGCCACAGCTCCATGTGTGAATGGGCACACGGAGCAGCGGGTGCCCCCACTGCAAGCTGCTTGCTTATGGGAGCACCCAACAGGAGGGGAGGGGTCAGGAGAGCCTGCCGGGGACCTGAAAAGAATAGGATCCAGGCTGCTCTGTGCAAAACCACTACACACAACAGGTAAGAATTGACATGTATTTTATTTTTTGCAAATAAAAAAAAAACCTTTAGAATCAATTTTAAAGTGTGTATGTAACTTCTAGGATCCCAGTAGACCAGGGGCAACTCTGGGCATATTAAAATGTTGATGGCCTGGTAGGATACCATGATGACCGTTTTGGATGATCACTTTGGATCAAGTCAAAAACTAAAATGTATTCTTTTTAACCGAACTAAAATTAATTTGTCTAAAATGTCACATTATGGTGACAAAATAGATGGATTGATAGGTTGATTAATAGACTCAGGACTCTCAGTAGAAAACCTGGGGCACGTCAGCCATCAGAATTTTTGGGGCCCCTTACACAGCTTTAGGCCCCCCCCAGGCGTGACAATCAACATTCCCCAGTGCCTACCCACTGGCCGTCTCGCCAAATCCTGCAGAGTCATTGCAAGGATCAAATGTGGAAATGTTTTTGTATTGCAGAGATGTACTGCATATGTTTTTTAGTTTATTTTTCCTTGACCTTTTTTTTTTTTTTTAAACCAGCATTAGTAAACAAAGAAATAATGAACAATCCTATATGTCGTTCTGTACCTTGTCGCCATCAGGGGTGGACTGACAACTCATGGGGCCCCCGGGCAATAGGGGATCATGGGGCCCCTGCGTCCTTGCCCAAACTCAAAAAAGCCTATGAAAAAGGTACCAGGGGCATCTCGTGGGGCCCCCTACTGACCCCGGGACCTCAGGCAGTGACCAAGTTTCCAAATGGTCAGTCCGCCCCTGGTCGCCATTATCTTACAATCCAGTATGCTAAGAACAGCAGCAAAGGATCAAATAGCATTTCACAGCCAATTTCACACTCAGCATATACACATTACATCTGAGTTCCTGTTTATTTATACACAGAAGGCTAAGCTATTGCTTGTTTTGCTTTTTTGGACCTTGTAGCTGACAGATGAGCTGATTGTATACTGTTGTTGCTAAGTTAGTGTCCTATAATTGCTCAGTGTAAAATACTGACTTTAAAGTATATGTAAACCCTCACCTTGTAAAACAAGTTTAAAATAGATATGCAAAGCAAAACATTTGTGTGTGTATATACAGTTGTGCTCAAAAGTTAGCATACCCTGTCAGAAATTGTGAAATGTTGGTACTGAAAATATGACTGATCATTTAAAAAACGTCTTTTATTCAAGATTATTATTATTATACAGGATTTATATAGCACCAACAGTTTCCTCAGTGCTTTACAATATAAAGGGAGACAATACAGCAACAATACAGTTCAATACAAGAGGGATAGGAGGGCCCTGCTCCTTGGAGCTTACAATCTAGGAGAGTGATCATATGAAACCATTTATCATCACATAGTTGTTTGGCTCCTTTTTAAATTATAATAACAAATCACCCAAATGGCCCGGATCAAAAGTTTCCATCCCCTGGAATGTTTGGCCTTGGTACAGACACACAAGGCGACACACACAGGTTAAAATGGCAATAAAGAGTTAATTCCCCACATCTGTGGCTTTTTAAATTGCACTTAGTATCTATGTATAAATAGTTAATTAGTTTGATAGCTCCCACATGGATGCACTGAGCAGGCTAGATACTGTGCCATGGAGAATAAAAAAGAACTTTCAAAAGACCTGCGTAAGAAGGTAACTGAACTTTATAAATATGGAAAAGGATATAAAAATATATCCAAAGCCTTGAATATGCCAGTCAGTACTATTCAAGAAGTGGAAAATTCGGGGATCTCTTGATACCAAGCCAAGGTCATGTAGACCAAGAAAGTTTGCAGCCACAACTGTCAGAAGAATGTTTGGGATACAAAGAAAACGTTACAGGGAACATCAGGAGAAATAAAGGCTGCTTTGGAAAAAAGGTGTTTCGAGTTGCACAATACGATGATACTTGAACAAAATGAGCTGTATAGTCAAGTTGCTGGAAAGAATCCTTTACTGCACCACTGCCACAAAAAAACTTGGTTATAATATGCCCAACATCTTGACATGCCTCACCACTTCTGGCACACTGTAATCTAGGTTGACAAGACCAAAATAGAGATTTATAGTCACAACCATAAGTGCTATGTTTGGATAGGGGTCATCAAGGCTTTTAGTGACAAGAATACCATCACTACTGTGAAGCATGGTGGTGGCTCACTGATGTTCTTGGGGGTGTGGAGAGGGGTCATCAAGGCCTTTAGTGACAAGAATACCATCACTACTCTTGGGAGTAGTTCTGCAAATATTAAAATGTCTTGATAGGTGCATGTCGGTCTAGAGGAGTGAGCATTCATAGGCAGGCTGCCCTAGGTAAAATGCACATGCAATGCCAGACCCTTCGTGATTAAAAGAGCTGACACTCAAGCTCCATTTACACCAATGGTTTTTTAGTGCTTTTTGCAGAAACGCACTACAATCCATTTGACATGGTTTCCTATGGAACATGTTCACATCTATGCTTTTTTTTACTGTGTTTTTGGAAAGGGTCAGGGATTTCTGAATTTTTGCTACAATAAAGTTCAATGGAGAAGCTGCTGAAATGCATGGTAGTTTGTTTTTACTGCGTTTTTGCATTTTTATTCTTCCCAGAATAAAAAAAGAAAAAAGCTGAACAAAACGCAAAACACTGTAAAAACGTGTAGAAAAACGCAAAACAAACTGTGAAAAGCACTGCAAAATGGACAAAAAGCAAACTGCATAGGTGTGAACGGAGCCTTAATGAATAAAAGATCAGGCCAGGGACTGTAGGACTAGGGAGGAAAAGGCTTGATGATATTTTATGTGGTCCAGCCAAAAAATAAGATAAGCGCTGCCTGACTTCCTAATGCACATTGTGTGAAGCTCACATTGTAGAGTGAAATCGGACTAGAATGTTTTCTCTACGAGAAAGGAACCAAACTGAAGAATTCCCTTTACCAATAGCCAAAAAGAACATTAGTAATAGTGGTTACTTTATTTGAGAGGCTTTAATAGCTGGAGGAACCCTGGTTGAGAGAGGCTGCCCTAGATTCACACAACCCAATTGGATTCATTTGAATGCTTGCTTTACAAAGGGTGGGGTTTGTTGAGTTTTTTCTTTTTTTTCAAAGGAACTGTATCTTGGTTATTGTTGCTAAAGAGTTATTGTAGCATCTCACAGCGCATGGTTCCAAAATGCCATTAATTCTTCCTCCAGGTCCTTTGCAGCAATATGCTGTCTTTGATTTTCATACCTGGCAAGGCTACAACCAGTTCTGCCAGATTTTTTTCTTTATCTCATACAACCTGTCTTGACTTCGTTTTCCTCTATTTCCGTTGCTTAGTGACATTCTGGGTAGTGGGTGCATGAATTTAGATGGTTATATAACCTTCCTTTTTGCTTTTGTAAGATTCAGTTCTCTTTAATTTCTTATCCTCACTCAGCTGCTTAAAGAGGCTATTGGGGAAAAAAACCCTTAAAGCTTTCTTGACACTATGGGGTCAATGTTTAAAATATTTACCCTTCAAATCGGGGCCATCTTAATAGCATCATGGGCCCCTGGGCAAACGAATGCACTGCCCTACCACTGCCTTTTAAGGCAGGTAGGGCCCCAGTGCATTAGTTTGCCCAGGGGCCCATGATGCACTTACTAGAATTAAAGTAGAATTAAAGTATAAATAGTTAATATACTTAAACATATATTTATTTAGTACTTTTAATAGAATAAATTTTAAGCAACAAGAAAACATGCCATAAATCAGAGACTAATCAGCACAAAGGGCACAGTACAGGGAGGAGGCAGATAGGCACCACAGTACGGGGGGGGGGGGGGCAGGGCACAATACTGGGATCAGAAGGGCACAGTACAGAGTCCAGTAAGATGCCCGGCACACAGCCATCCCAGGACAGCTTAGTTAAAAGCATGAATGTCCCAGCAAATTCGGGACAGTTGGCAAGTATGATTTAATGCAAAATTATAATGGGGCCCCCAATGCCTCTGGGATGTGGGCAAGCTCTGTGTATTGGGGGGTGCTAGGAGGTGGGGAGAGCTCTGTACATTGTGGTGTGCTACGGGGTGGGGGAGCTGTTTAATGGGGAGGAGGGGAGACTTCTGTTCTTGGGGGGGGGGGGGGGGGGGGGGGAGCTCTGAATTGGGGGTTTGGAAGGAGGGAGTGCGCTTTGTGTACTCAGGGGTGGGCGAATGGGGAACTCTGCATCCAATCAGTTTCCCAGCTTCATTCTCTGCACCGGTTGACCTCGTCCTGGCACTGGCTGTGTCACATCAATGTGAATGGGCACCAGTGAGAACAATGTCATGTGATTCCATGCGACTCAAGTCATATCTGAAATTGCAGTAGTGTGAACAGAGCCTTAAAGACTCAGAAATTATATTGGGCACTGGATTGTCTTCACTTGATTTGGATTAACGGCCAAAAAGTAAATTAAGTTCTTGTACCTAAAACTTAATGCAAGTGCATCCAGTATATTCAACTGCGCAGGTATTTGGCAATTTTGAAATATATATATATATATCCTAGATTGTAAGCTTGAAAGAACAGGGCCCTCGAACCCCTCGTGTATTGTTTGTTACTGTATTGTCTCATGTTCTGTCCCCCACTATAATGTACAGCTCTGAGCAAAACTTTTGGCGCTATATAAATACTGTATAATAATATAATAATAATAATAATATAAATATATATTCTAAACATTTTCATTTCCACACTCACTTGGAGCACGAATTGTACCTAATCGGATCTTTGAACTTTGTCATCATTGAAGCAGCTTTTTGCACCATAATTAGACGCAATTCACACACTCACTGGGGCGCTATTTAGCACATTCTTCTATGATTATTGTTTTTCTATTGGGACTTTACACAGCCTGGTTGCCTTAATATGCAATTCAGTTTCTGATGTTTGCACATGCACGTTTATAAACGCATTTTGTATTCATATTTTAAACATTATATATATTTTATGTATTTTAGAGCGCTGCATGATTTATTTATTGATTTATCACTATGGACAGGCAGGTGTAAATCGACTTGTGTCCATTTACACCCGCCTACCTCTGAGTATGATCAGGCCTGCTAAAAAAAAAAAAAAAAAAAAATAAAAAATGGAGGGGACTCTGTCCTCTTCTGTTTAGGCGGATCGGAAGCAGCTGGGTGTAAACAGGCAGCAGATTCCATTTACCCCCACCCGCCCAGGGGTCTCTCCATGGCCACTATGGAGATACTGAGCGGACGGATGTGTCATCCGATCACCAGGGGATCAGTTCACAGATCCCCTGCTGATCGCAACAGAATCCATCTGTTGAAGCAGCCTTTCTGTAAGCTCTGGCCTCTAACTTTAAAGATGGACTCCCGCCTTACATTCAATCTTCAGATCCCTTCCCTGTACTGACGTTGCTTACTCTAAGCTCCTCACAGTGTGCCTTAGACTTAGCAGGTCATTGATAGATCCCACCTCATTTCCTGGCTGGAGGACATCTAGCATCATGTATTCCCCTCCTCCCCATCCTGACTGTACCTGAGCTTTCATTTTATTGGATTTCAGTTATTTCAATGATGAAGCTCAGCAACACATATGGGCATTACCAAGTGTGGTCTCCATACAAACACAACCTGCCTAAGAAAGCTCCCTCCTCCAGACTCACATCCACCCATCAAGGCATTTTATTATTTGCATAATTCCTGCCAAGAGACAGCTCACTGCTCGTATCAGAGCTGTGGGATTTTGAGAAGAATACCAAAGCAGGGTGATGTGATATTTTCCTGAGGCTATGTACAGTACCCTGCTGGACCCTCCCACCAGCCATGATCTCCCTGCATTGCATAGAGAAGTGCAAAGATCCAGTGATGATTTCACAGAGTCTAAAATAGGAATGAAAACAAAGTAACTTATTTAGTAATTACATTAGCATGTTGCTGGGGGAGCAGATTAAATTTAAGCTTTAATATAGAATTAGGTAGACTGAACAAAGGGGGGGTGGTCCCTAAAATGGACACCGCAAGCCTGGCTCTCAGGCTCTTAAAGGTACACGAACCCTTCTGTGGAAATCCTTGGAAACTTTGTGGTTCTAAAGGCAGAAGGTGTTTTTACCTTCATGCATTCTGTGCCCCCTCCCCCCAGCCACACCTTATATTTACCTGAGCTCCATCTCGATTCAGCGATGTGCATGAGAGCAGCGGCTCTGCCAGGTCTCTCTCTCCTCGTTGGCTCACACAGCAGCGGGAAGTCATTGGCTCATGCTTCTGTCAATCACAGCCAGTGAGCCAATGAGGAGACAAAAGCAAGAGGCTTTCTATTGGGGTCACTTGGCAGGGAGGAGGAGCCAGGATAACTGACACGGGACCCAAAAGAAAGAGGATCTGGGCTGCTCTGTGCAACACCATTGCACAGAGCAGATAAGTATAACATGTTATTTATTTTTTACAACCTTTAGAATAACTTTAATATATTAGAATGAAGAGTTTGTGTTGTATAAACATGTAATAAATATTCTTTTATGGTGGCTGTTTTTCAGGAAGTTATATGTGACCTTGGCTGTCTGCATCTGTCTGCTGATATTTTTCCTTGTTGTATTGTTCCTGTATCCACGTTCTGTCACTCTGGATCATGCAGGGGTGAATTCATCATTTGTTACCCACGATGCTTCCAGTTCAACTGTGAACCTCGAAACCACGGTAAGTTGAGAATAAACTGTTTGTTTGTTTTATCATGGAGTATTCTCTGTAAGGATATAGGATACATGCACTTAAAAAGTAGAGTACTTTGTGGGACTTAAAAGGAATATGTCCTACTGGTGTATATATTTTTTTAAAATAAAAGGCAATATTATTATGTTCAGGGACAATATTTAATTTTCAAAGGTTACATAGTATGGGTGAACCATTGGCTACTGGAAGGTGGCGCGGTCTGCATCCCTGGTATTCATTCCCTTGTTGTGTTGACTAGATTGTGCAAAGCTGAGCGCTATGCAAGCCAATGTCTTTACCTACATCTGTTTTTTTTTTTAGTTTATGTATAATTTTTCTTACCGGTTTCCAGAAGCGTGAAGCAGCTCCAAAAGATATGGAGAAAGGAACCACCTCTGATACTGGCATCTCCAACATTAGAGACACTTTGGGATAGATTTGGTGTTGTGTGACTGGAGGTTCTGTACCACCATTACAATATTTTGAAACTGGTCTCCTAGTGCTTGTTTGAAATAGAGGATTCATGGACGAATAATACCATGCAGTCTTTTTTTTTGTTGTGGGTAAAAGAGGTATTACATTTTTTTTCCCATTTCTGTATATATAGTGCCTGAACAGTTGGATCTGTATTTACAACCATAGAGTGAGTATGCCACAGGAAGTGTGTGGTGAATTTGAGCGTAGCTAGTAGGTTTGGATCAGAAAAAAGAATGTAGTATGTTTGAAATATTCTGTTTGGAAATTGATCTGAGCTATTGACTCAACTGTAAGGTTTAAGTAATTTCCCAGCTTCATTTTTAGTTCCTTGGTGGTGTGGAAACTCCCATTTAAAGTAAAGTGTACGGTCCTGAGCCCAACCCCTAGGTGTAGACGTTTAAAGTATGGGAGTCTTTTATTCTAGGTGGGAGTTTGTTGGTGCAAATGGGCAAGGTTTTGTCATCATATGGTTGTTACAATTTTTTTTTTATAATTGTCAGCATAGGGCCAAAAAGTTAATAGTCCTTGGTATTGGAGCGTAGGGGTATAACCCCTGTCAGATTTATTTCTTTGGCCATCTGTATCCCATTGCGGATATTTCCCTTCACTTCCTGTCCCATAGCCAAAGAGAAAGTGAGAGGAAATCTCTGCAAATTAAGGGAATTCCTTGCATATTCGTATGAATGAGGAAAGAACAAAGAGAGGGCGCACAGGCCTAGTGCATTACCACTGTGGCTCTGAGGAAGAGGCAAGTCCTCGAAACGCGTCAGCCTATTGGATGTCTACATTCCCCATTACGGACTGTTACTCAGCACGGTGTTGACCCAGCTGTTCTTTTATGATGTGCCTTGACTTTATTGTCGTTTGTGAGTACAACACCTATTTTATTTCTTATTAAATATTTTTTATGGTAATGCACTAGGCCTGTGCGCCCTCTCTTTGTTCTTTCCTCATTCAGTATATTTGGATTCCCCCGGTCTGTTGAGGGCAGCAAGGTGTGCATGTTCCAGGACATTCTTAATGTGGTTGCAGCCTGCATCGAGTCCATCCCCAAGCGCAGGAGCATTTGTGTTTGCTGGTTCAATATTCGTATGAATACCTGATGGTTTCAGGATTATTGTTTGCATGACTGGCCATATAGCTTGAGGTGCTGTTGATTTATTTCTGTTTGCAGAAGAAATTTTGAGCCTACCATTTGCAGAAAATACATGCTTTTGCATCGGTAACCCAATCTTTACCGAGCAAGGACAGATCCAGGCTCTCAGTATTCCTAAAATACATCTTTTAAGGCCTTTACTTTCATTGTCATTGAAATTACACATCTCCTGTAATTAAGGAAAATGCATGCAATATGCTCATCCAGAATATGTAGTTTTGGCACCAGTTTGCAAAAAGAACATTGGGGTATTGGAGAAAGTACAGAGAAGGGCAACTAAACTGATACGAGGCATGGAGGAGCTCAGCTATGAGGAAGATTAGAGGAACTGAATTTATTCTCTCTTGAGAAGAGGAGATTAAGGGGGGATATGATCTCCATGTATAAATACATCAGTGGTTCATATAGTGAACTCGGTGTAGAGTTATTCCCCCTGAGGTCATCACAGAGGACAAGGGAGCACTCTTTACGTCTGGAGGAAACCTCCAAATACGGAAAGGCTTCTTGACAGTAAGAGCTGTGAAAATGTGGAATAGACTCCCTCAAGAGCTGGTTCTGGTCAGCTCAGTAGATTGTTTTAAAAAAGGCCTGGATTCTTTCCAAGATAAACAAAATATAACTGGGTACCAATATTTATAGGCAAAGTTGATCCAGGGAATATTTGATTGTCTCTTGGGGATCAGGAAGGAATTTTGGCCCCTCCCCCCGGGAACAAATTGGATCACATTTTTTGGGGTTGTTTTGCCTTCGTCTGGATCACCTGTGGGTGTAAGTTTGTGTATATAGCATTGGTCCCCAAACTGTGGTGCCAGGGCCAGATGCGGCCCTTGTTATGCCTTTATCAGGCTGTATTCCTCCCACTGATACTAGACACTATTACTCTCATCTACACCAACAGTGAAGAACCATTTTTTCCACTGACATCAACAGTGGGGCGTAATTCCTCCAACTGACACCAACAAATGGGACTTTATTTCTCCCAGTAACATCAATGATGGGGCACTATTCCTCCCACTGACTGAGTGATGGGGCGCTATTCCTCCCACTGACGTCTGTGATGGGGCGCTATTCCTCCCACTGAGTGTGGGGCACTATTCCTCCCACTGACGTCCGTGATGGGGCGCTATTCCTCCCACTGACGTCCGTGATGGGGCGCTATTCCTCCCACTGACGTCCATGATGGGGCGCTATTCCTCCCACTGACGTCCATGATGGGGCGCTATTCCTCCCACTGACGTCCGTGATGGGGCGCTATTCCTCCCACTGACGTCCGTGATGGGGCGCTATTCCTCCCACTGACGTCCGTGATGGGGCGCTATTCCTCCCACTGACGTCCGTGATGGGGCGCTATTCCTCCCACTGACGTCCGTGATGGGGCGCTATTCCTCCCACTGACGTCCGTGATGGGGCGCTATTCCTCCCACTGACGTCCGTGATGGGGCGCTATTCCTCCCACTGACGTCCGTGATGGGGCGCTATTCCTCCCACTGACGTCCGTGATGGGGCGCTATTCCTCCCACTGACGTCCGTGATGGGGCGCTATTCCTCCCACTGACGTCCGTGATGGGGCGCTATTCCTCCCACTGACGTCCGTGATGGGGCGCTATTCCTCCCACTGACGTCAGTGATGGGGCGCTATTCCTCCCACTGACGTCAGTGATGGGGCGCTATTCCTCCCACTGACGTCAGTGATGGGGCGCTATTCCTCCCACTGACGTCAGTGATGGGGCGCTATTCCTCCCACTGACGTCAGTGATGGGGCGCTATTCCTCCCACTGACGTCAGTGATGGGGCGCTATTCCTCCCACTGACGTCCGTGATGGGGCGCTATTCCTCCCACTGACGTCAGTGATGGGGCGCTATTCCTCCCACTGACGTCAGTGATGGGGCGCTATTCCTCCCACTGACGTCCGTGATGGGGCGCTATTCCTCCCACTGACGTCCGTGATGGGGCGCTATTCCTCCCACTGACGTCCGTGATGGGGCGCTATTCCTCCCACTGACGTCCGTGATGGGGCGCTATTCCTCCCACTGACGTCCGTGATGGGGCGCTATTCCTCCCACTGACGTCCGTGATGGGGCGCTATTCCTCCCACTGACGTCCGTGATGGGGCGCTATTCCTCCCACTGACGTCCGTGATGGGGCGCTATTCCTCCCACTGACGTCCGTGATGGGGCGCTATTCCTCCCACTGACGTCCGTGATGGGGCGCTATTCCTCCCACTGACGTCCGTGATGGGGCGCTATTCCTCCCACTGACGTCCGTGATGGGGCGCTATTCCTCCCACTGACGTCCGTGATGGGGCGCTATTCCTCCCACTGACGTCCGTGATGGGGCGCTATTCCTCCCACTGACGTCCGTGATGGGGCGCTATTCCTCCCACTGACGTCCGTGATGGGGCGCTATTCCTCCCACTGACGTCCGTGATGGGGCGCTATTCCTCCCACTGACGTCCGTGATGGGGCGCTATTCCTCCCACTGACGTCCGTGATGGGGCGCTATTCCTCCCACTGACGTCCGTGATGGGGCGCTATTCCTCCCACTGACGTCCGTGATGGGGCGCTATTCCTCCCACTGACGTCCGTGATGGGGCGCTATTCCTCCCACTGACGTCCGTGATGGGGCGCTATTCCTCCCACTGACGTCCGTGATGGGGCGCTATTCCTCCCACTGACGTCAGTGATGGGGCGCTATTCCTCCCACTGACGTCAGTGATGGGGCGCTATTCCTCCCACTGACGTCAGTGATGGGGCGCTATTCCTCCCACTGACGTCAGTGATGGGGCGCTATTCCTCCCACTGACGTCAGTGATGGGGCGCTATTCCTCCCACTGACGTCAGTGATAGGGCGCTATTCCTCCCACTGACGTCAGTGATGGGGCGCTATTCCTCCCACTGACGTCAGTGATGGGGCACTATTCTTCCTCACAGGCAATCTGTCATTTCTTTACTCCCTCTGTCTACCAAGCCTGAGGCATTGTTACTCCCACTGGCCACAGTCTAGCCCCTCTAAAGTCTAATGGACAGTAAATTGGCCCTTTGTTTAGAAAGTTTGGATACCCCTGACATATAGAATTGTATAAATTCCCCCCCCCCCTTCTATTGGTTGAACTGGATGGACCTGTCCTTTTTTTTTTTTTTTTTCCCAAGCAGACTAACTTTGCAATTATGTATGTATGTTCCTGAGCTAGACTGACCCAGATGAATAGTACAACTTTCGCTGGGTTTTGCATGCTTGACACAGATGTCAGTCAGGAAAACTGTTGTGTTGATGAAAAGTCACCAATAAGTTGAATAATTTAGGAACTGCTGGTTTCAATTTACTTCCAACAAAAGCCCCTCTAATATTGCTGGAGTGTAATACTCTGTTTCGTTAGTGACCTGTATTGTATAATTGCAACAAATCATATTCAAATTTTCATTTTCCAACTGTTCCAGGTACACAGTTGCACCTGATTAGTTGATATAAATTAATCTATATATATTATATATGCTGCCATAGCAGTCATCTGTATTTGGATGACTGATACTATTTTACCTGACCAGCTGCCCCTTCTTTGGTTGCAAACCGAGACAATTCTGGAAATTGGGAAGATTTTGGCTATGGGAAGTTATGTGAACTCCTCTGGTGACAGTGCTTGGGTCTTCAGTCAGTCATTAGGCCCAAGTACTGTCACATGATGGAGGCGATGACATCACTGCCCTCCTCTTCCCAATCACCAATTCCAGGCTACACCTTGGATTTCAATCTGATGCGTTGAAAGCAGGAGCTGCCAGGAAGTGCTGGTAAGGATTGTATGACTGGGGCTAGGCTGTGCATGGGAAAATTGACAACAATTCTTCAGACAGTTTGCATACAAAAAATTTTGTAATTTCACTGCATTTTTTTCCACAGAATAAACTGAATATAAGTAATAGAAACATGTTTGGGATAACAGTTCTGAACCTCAACGTTGAGCTTCTACACATGTCTGCTGTAGTCGGTACTCTCAACCTGAAAGAAAATAAAATGGTTGGCCCCCACTGGTAAACAACCAGGTAAATATTTCCACTACTGTTAATCTGATTAGAAGATTTTATTAAGCTCTTATTTAACCAAAGCTTTCATCAAATCTTTTTGGGAATTTGGATGGGGCATAATTTTTTGCCTGGTATTTATTGTGGTCGGTCAGCTATGTGAAAAGATTTACCCTTACTTTGTTTCTGAGTGACACCAGATCCAGAAACGGGGGAAACAAGTGTTGTCTGGGCAGGAAGATACTGGCAGCAATAAAAACCAGACAGAAATTGTAACCTTCCACCATGCTCCTAAAAAAGTTTTTGTTTCCCTACTGAGAAATTTCCCCTTTACTTATGTGTCTCTTACCTGCAAACCAAGAAGAGAGGGAATATTTCCCCAGTTTGGATACCATAAAATCACTTACAGAGATTCTAACTTCCCCTACTCTGTTAAATTAAAAAATAAATTGGAGGGTGTTGGGTTTAAAACTCTGAAACTTTACCAATAAGGAGTACATTGGGAAGTTATGTGGGCTTCTAGTGGAATACCAGTTTTGGATATCCATTTATATGCTTTCAATTACCTCATCTATGCAGGCATGTCCAGCTATCTCTTTTAAATTCAGTTATTCATGTTTTTACCCAGTTCTTAGTCCAGGAAAAAGTTCAGTTGCATATAGGAAGTATAGCACTACCCTCTTGAGGGCTGCTGGATTTGTTTTGGGTCCTTCTAAGCTCTGCATGGCCAGGCAACATGTATTTTCCACACTTGCACATTCAGAGTCAGTAAACAGTCCTTGAGCTGGTTTTTAGTTGTTTTTATTAAGGGGTTAGCAACTTGGTTGAGGTATATGGGATGCACAAGGAACTGTAAACTTGAAGACAAACTTAGCAACAAAACTGTACAAGAAATAGTGGACCAACAATGGCAAATGTCTCTGTTAAGGAGCACTGAAGTCCCCTTGGTGTATATCCTCAGATTCCAGATGAGTCTTTCCTCTTCACCCTGCTGCACTGAGGGTATCCCTTGGCAAGGGATTCCAAGAGCCCTAGCAGTTAAGTAGTTCTGGATGAGAACTATTTTAGTCTTGCACCTGACCGCCCGCTCCCTTTTATCTGGCTCAGGGGAGTAGGAGTACTCACGCTGTCCTGTTAACTTGGTGGGTTGATGCAGCTTTCAGGCCTTTTCACTGGACTGGCCCCTTCCCGGCTGACAGGTTGTCCTCCCTAGGAGACGGTGGAACAATGGAGATCCTTCTGTCCAGCAACCAGCCTGTAGGTAGGCTCCCCTCCCAGGCTCCACACTCCAGCCTTCCTCTCGGTCCATCTTCCACTCTACTCCCCTGCTGCTCAGGCTCTATCTCCTTGGCCAAGGTCCCTCAAACATGCAGATCTGGGCCTCCTCCCTTCCTCCACCCCTGTTCCAGAACATTCTCTGAGTTTCTGGAAGAGTAGGATGGCTCCAGAAGCCTCCCAGCCTGTCTGAAGTGAACGCCACTACCTCACTCCCAGGCTGACTCACCCCAGGCTGCAACCCAGCCTCTAACAAAACTCTTATCTAGCTAACCTAGAGCGCATTACAGAAATATGCACTATTCTTCTTAGGCATACAGTGGTACCTCATTTTACGAACGCCACGGTAAACGGAATTTTTTCGGTTTACGAATTAAAATCCATGGAAAATAATACCTTGGTTTACAAATTTTTCCCGCAATATGAAGCAAGTTTCCCCAGGATGCATTGCGTGTGGGAGGTTTATAGCACTGTGCATGCCGGAGTCTGTGTTGTACCTGGGAGGTTTATAGTACCGTGCATGCTGGAGTCTGTGGAAAGGTAGGGAGCTGAGGTTTGTCGTTTGCATGCCTTTTACTATGTGTTCTGCATTGTGGGTTGGTTTCCATGCCAGCTCATGTGCTGTGCATGCCTGCTACTGTGTGTTTTGCATTGTGGGGTGGTTTCCATGCCAGCTCATGTGCTGTGCATGCCTGCTACTGTGTGTTTTGCATTGTGGGGTGGTTTCCATGCCAGCTCATGTGGACAGATTTTTGGGGTTTTCATTAGCTTGTGTGGATAGACTTGGGGCTCTTGGACTGGAGCATTGAGAGCCTGGGTGTGGGTGTAAAGCATTTTTTTAATTTTCTGCTCACTTAGTGACTGTGGTGTCATGGCACCCAAGAAAGCAGCGGAAGCTGGGAAGGAGAATGATTCTGCTCGGGTCAAGAAAGAAATCGTCGGGAAGCATGAAGGAGGAATGCGATTGACTGCGCTCGCCAAAGAATATGGAAGGAGTGCATCCACAATCGCCACCATCCTAAAGATGAAAGAGAAGGTAACTAGGAGAGATGCAGCCAAGGGAGTCACCAGGGTCTCCAAGCAATGGCCACCTATTCTGGAGGACGTCGAAAAGTTGCTCCTGCTCTGGGTTGAAGAGAAGCAGCGTGCAGGGGACACAGTGACCGAGGCAATAATCTGCGAAAAAGCCAAGGCCTTGCACACTGACCTCCTTGACCAACAGCCAGGAACGTCAGCTGATGCAGAAGGCTTCAAGGCGAGCAGGAGGTGGTTCAGAAGGTTCAAGACCAGATCTGGCATCCACAGCGTGGTCAGGCATGGAGAGGCCACAAATTCTGATGTTGCTGCAGCTGAGGAATTTGCTACTGAGTGCCTGGAGGTCATGGTTTCAGAGGGCTACCTTCCTCAGCAGGTCTTCAACTGTGACGAGACTGGGCTCTTCCGGAAGAGGATGCCAATGCATACCTTCATAACGGAAGAGAAGACCTCATTGCCTGGCCACAAGCCGATAAAGGATCGTCTCACCCTCCTGTTCTGCGCCATTGCCAGTGGGGACCTTAAGATCAAGCCTCTGCTCGTCTACCACTCAGAGAACCCACGGGCCTTCAAGAAACAAAAGGTGAAGGAGCAGTTGAGCATTTGGGGTGGTCCAACTCAAAGGCTTGGGTCACACGCCTCTTGTTTGTGCAGTGGGTCAATCTGGTTTTTGGTCCTGGGCAATAACCCGCCACTCAAGGCCGTGCTGCTCATGGACAATGCTCCTGCTCATCCTCCAGGCCTCAAGGAAGACTTGCTGGAGGACTTTAACTTCATCACAGTCGTGTTCCTTCCGCCTAACACCACCCCACTACTCCAGCCAATTGACCAGCAGGTCATCTCCAAATTTAAACAACTCTACACAAGGGAGCTTTTCCGGCAATGCTTTGAGATAACAGATCGATCAAGCCTCATCCTTCATGAATTTTGGAGAGACCATTTTGACATTGTGAGGTGTCTGCAGATTATCACCATTGCCTGGGCCGGGGTCATCCAGAGAATCCTAAATTCTGCTTGGGCACAACCTGTGGCCAGACTGTGTTGTGACACCTGACTCCAATGCTTCTGAACCTGCACCAGAGTCAGCAGTGTTGGAGGAGATAGTTTCCTTGAGGAGGATCATGGGACTGGAGGTAATTGAGGAGGATGTCTGCGAGATGGTAGAGGGACACAACCGTGAGCTAACCGCCGAGGACCTGGTGGAACTGCAGAAGGAGACAATGGAGGAGCGGATCTCATTTGAGGAGGAGGAAACCAGTGAGGAACAGCTCTCTTCCAGGGAACTCAAGGAGGCATGCCAAATGTGGGTAAACCTACAGACATTTGCACAGTAGCACCACCCAGATATGGCTCTATCCCAGAGACTTGTGAACAGTTTTGACACCGACATCATGTCCCCTTTCCGAGTGATGCTTAAAAGGTGCCGGAGGCAGCAGACAATGGAAAGGTTCCTACTAAAACAGCCTAGACATGAAAAAGAACCTGCTTGTGTTAGTGCTGCCCAGTTTGCCCTGCTTCTCCTCTTCCAAAAAATGTTTGAAATTGTTTTGAAAAGTTTGCCATGTTTTAAAAGTTGATGTGTGATGTTTAAAAGTTGAAGTTGGATGTTTGAAATGTTATTGCTTGATTAATCCTGTCCCTGTACAGTATTTATGCCTTTAAAGTGCACTTTATAAAGTGTTTTGAACAGATAAAATACTTTTTTTTTTTTTTTTTACTTTTTTCTGACTGGATTAATTGGTTTTCAATGCATTCCTATGGGAAACTGCATTTTTGGTTTATGAATTTTTCAGTATACGAAAAGTCCTGCAGAATGAGTTTAAATTTGTAAACCGAGGTATTACTGTATTTAGATGTGCGCTCCAATATATATATTACCTATCTCCAGTCTACAGAAAATTGAATTGTCACATACAGTAGCTCTAGTAGCTAGGGCTAGAGAGCTAACCATGTTATTTATGCTGTTGGTGCTACTAAATCCAAAAAAGAAAAAGCAGACATCAATAACTTTTTGGGCTTTGTTTTAAGAATATACAGAATGATATGAGGGGATATAAAGGAAATCAGGATGGAGAGGTGGTAATATGAGGGTACACTGCTTGTTCGCTTTCATTGCAAGCTCCCTGGCCAAATATGGGCACAGAATGGTACTGAAGAAGGTGCCATTTGTGGCAGAGGGACATAGAGTACAGTGGCTTAGTGCTTAGCACTTCTGCCGTGCAACACTGGGGTCCTCAGATTGAGTTTTGGATTTGAGGTAGCATGTTCTCCCTGTGCTTGCATGAGTTTCCTCCAAGTACTCTGGTTTCCTCTCACATACCAAAGACACACTTGTAAGTTAATTAGCTCTTGACTTAAAAAAAAAAAATTACCCTAGTATGATAGTCTGAGCTCACCTAAGATGGCCGCCTCATTTCTGTCCCAATATAACATGGTTTGAGTCCCCAGAAAAAAAAGTACTATAGAAATATTAACTATTACAATTTTAAAAAAGCTTTAAGAAATGTTTTTTTATGTTGGTATATATTTATTTGTTTGTTGAATTGAAATATATGGTTAAATGCTTTTGTTTCTTAGTTATTTATAAAGTAATTTATCTCTTTTTTTCTAACAGATATTATATACTGTGAAGAGTACAATCCAAGACACAAACACATTGTACGTCACAAGAGAAACTGGATAATTATGGTGGAGCATAACATGACATTAAAATGATGTATAAGGGGGTAGACAAAATAACACAAAGATTGGTAAAAATTTGATGTAACTAAAGCTCAAACAACTAAAAAGTTTGGTTTATTAGCAAGTGTTTTGGCTGTAAAAGCTATATTAATTGGCACTGTGTTCGGCTTTGTAAAGCAGAATTTTAAAACTACTTCCATTGCAAGTCACAGCAAATGGCTTCAAAAGTAACATCATATGTGAAACAGGAACAAACTACATCTGCAAAAAACAAGTCAAATAACTGACGGGGAAAGTTGGACATTTGACAGAAAGGATGCCAAATGCTATGCTAGTACAACCTCCAAACTTGCCAAAAAAAGGTGGTCTTGATAAAAACGGTGTTCAGTGATCTCCACATACCTGAAATTTCAATTAAGTTTTCCATTTGTAAAACTGCTTGCCTAAAAGACACAGAACCTGGTATATGGAGCATCAAAACCTGGATCCCTGGGCAGTGGAAACATTTAATATGGTGAATGCAGTATTTAGCATATCCAGATTGGTTAACATACAGAGAATATTGGCTGCCAAGCATCTATGGCAGGCTTTATCAACCTTTTCAAAACACAGGGACCTTTGAATTAACTTTCCGGTCTCAGAAAAACCCTGTTAAAAATGACCATATCTACAACTCATGATACATTAGTGTGATGGTCAGTGGGAAGAATGTTCCTTACACTTGTGGTCATTGGGAAGAAATACTCCCTTTATAGATGGCTAAAATGATCAGTGGTATCAGTGGGAACTTACCTGAGAGGCAGGAATTGCTCATTGCTCAAGGAACCCTCAGCAACTTCCTTGAGGAAGGAGAGAAGAAGCCGGGCCTCTAAGATCAGCAGACCACTTTGATACAGCATAAACGTAGGAACACTCATTTGTTAGTAAAGTAATACAGACATGTATAGTATATGGTGTAGAAACACAATGCAGAACGGCTGTCACTGGTATAAATTTCTTCAACCTCCTGGAGGAAACCTAGGCTTCCATGGACTTCTGGTTGAGAAACACCGATCTGTGGCTAAACCTGGAAATCTAAGCAAACTGTAGATAGGGATCTGCTTTAAATATGTATAAAAACACTCATTTTACTGCATAATGCCCATTTATTTTTTTTGCAAGGAAAAAATGAGTTTTGTTCAACAAAGATGTACTGTAGAGAGCAATTAAAAAGGAAAATGTAACAGAAGTTTTAACCATTATGCAGTCAACCCAAAACTTAAATAAAGAACACTATAGTTGGAAGTGGGCTACAGTATCTTCCAACTATAGTTATATTACTATAATAATAATCTTCCAAGTCACTTCTTCCTCATTTTAGTTCCTGGAATTCAGAGTCTGTACTAAGAAATTAAGTATAAACTTAAGACAACTGAAAAAACTACTAATGTTCGATATTATAGGCTTACTGTGGAACAGAATTGTGTTTTTTTTCTTAGAAGTAAGGCTTCATTTCCATTCCTAATTTCATTAATTTAAAACAGTTGCCTATTATTTTTTGCAAAAGATTGGCAAATTAAACCGGTCCCTTGAATATTCCTATGGGCCAGTCATAATTTTCCAGTATTTGATATCTGAATTGGTTTAATACCTGAGGCCACAGTTTATGCTGGCAATAAACTCAAATATCTTTTATATATTTCAGATGATGATATGCCCCTCACTGTTGAGGATTATATGAACCCTATAGCTATTGAAATCTTTCATCTAAATTTGCGTAGCTTATTTGCATGACCATAATCCTATGGCTATTATTAACATCAATAGCAAAATAAAACCAGGGAGGATATGACATGTCTCTGGCTTGCTTAAACCTTAACTCTAGGTTCATAAAATTAGCAAATAGGATTTAAATATTAGAAATGTTTGCATTAATTTGTGCATTTTTTTATATATATCCTTTTTTTTTTTGTTTCAGTAAGGTCTGCACCTGGGAACAGATCAAAGTCCACAACATTCTGCTTATTGTACAGTAAGTATACCATGCAGTAGGTAACGGGGTTATTACTACAATATATTCTTTTAAGTGTAGTTTATCCCCAGTGTGTACTGGGTTGCTTATGCCATGGCTACTGTTGAGGAAAGCAAAGTCTCCATCACCCAAAGTTGGATGGCTGTGAATGGTGTTGAAGTAAGCCCCATACCACCTCATGTATCAGTGTGCATGTATGGCTTCATCATCTATTAAAGTGGTATTAAACCCCAAACCAAAAATTTAATATATTGCAGCTAACCAATTGTCAGATTTGGTGTTTGTATGCTTTTTTTTTTTTTTTGTTATTTAAGACTTTTTTCCTGGTAATCTGGAGAGTAACCCACCTCCTATATTACAGTGCCCCACTATACTGGATGAAGTAGCTCAGAGCACCTTTGGACAGCAGCATTATCAGTCTGGAGTGAGGGGAGTGTTAGATGTACTATCAGATTTAGATACACTAACAAATTGAAGGCAAATTCTAGCTCACACAAGCAGTTGCAGCAGCAGTTTTTTTTTTGGGGGGGGATAAAGATTTTACATGAATATATGAAAGCGTGTTTAAGCACCCCTGTCAGTGGAAATTGGTTTGCCCCATCCCTCTAACTTCTAGATTTACAGAAGAGCTTGGTCTGTTTAAAAACAGACTTACTGGTAGCATCACCAAATGAAAATAAAAAAAAAGCCTAAAAAAGAAAAAAATAATGCAGCCATTACATCTAAGGATTGGTAAGCTGCAATTTAATAAATATTTGCTTTTGGGTTTAATACTTTAAGTCACTATATAACTTTGTGTTTTTTTACCTGGTATTTTCCAATACAAAAAGCTATTGGCAAGCCAAAAAAAAATGAAGCCACAGTGACCTCTCTCTGCATCCGGCAGTTAGGGTATGTTGATAGTGATGGTGACACTAATATAGAAAACAGAAATAGCTCAGTGATTAATGACATAGTAATAGGGTAATGCAACAATGTTGACAAAGTAATAAAAAGGACTCTGAATACCAGAATTAATGCAAAGTGGATATAAATATTTTAGCAGAAATTAACTATGCAACAATAGTTGAAACAAAGGACTGAAAAAAGTGAATCTGAATTTCTAAGATGCAGATCCACAAGAAATTAAAATGACTAAATTTCTAATTGATATAAATAATAAACACACATATAGCAGACCATCTCTAATTAGATCTATGTCATAGAAAAGCACGGTTTGGAAAGTAAAGAACCATATAGAAAACATGCTGTAGATGGCACCATTGTATCAAGCCATTCAACCGCTTGAATCTTCTGAGTCTTTTTTTATTTGTCTAACCTGTTTGAATCCTAGACTATTAGCTAATACGATATTATTTCCCTATAACTTGCATGAATTCAATATCTACTTTACTTTTTTGTTTCTTGCAGAGGTTCTCTGAAATTCTCATACCTTGGTCATGTGGAACAGATACAATTTTCTGGAAATGAGTACCTAGACTGTAAAAGCAATACCACAATGCCCCACTAACTTTCTTCTGTGGCAACAAGCAGAATATATATTTCTATCCACTTTCTGAAAAATATGAGAATAGTTCCTGTTGTTAGGGATTAATCTTTCTTTTTTGCTGATACATGCAATTTTTCTAGGTTGACCATGACAATCTGAATGAAGAACATTTACTGTATCAATGATTACCTAAAATCACTTATGTGCACTAAGATACATTTAAAAATTCATGAAAATATGTAAATTAAACTTTTCTTTTTGTTACTGTTATTTGAGTAAAATAGACTGACCTAATATTTGACATGGTGGGATTTTTAAGGCACAACAAAAATTATTTTCTAACACCAGTACAGTTTATTTGTACAAAATCTCTTTAAAATATAATTTTCTCATAAAAATTTGCTGTATAAAATCACATTTAAATCATATATTGTCTAATTTGCATTCAGTTTCAAGTATATTTATTTATTTTATTTCAATTTACGCAGCACTTTACATATATATTGAACATTCACATCAGTCCCTAATCCTCAAGAGGTCTACAATCTAAGGTCCTTAAACTTACATTCATACATACACATACTTGGGCAAATTTAGACAGCATCCAATTAACCTACCAGCATGTCTTTGGAGTGTGGGAGGAAACGGGAGCACCCGGAGGAAACCCACGCAAGCACAGGGAGAACTTGCAAACTCCATGCAGGAGGCGCCATGGTCGGGAATCGAACCCATGAACCATTTACTGCAAGGCAGACGTGCTAACCACTAAGCCACTGTGCCGCCCATAGTATAAGATACAATGACAAATGCTTGACGCATTTCTTGGACTTTGTCTGCTTCATCAGGAGCTAGAGATGAATGTCTCTGAATATGCTTATAAAAGAAAAGGAACAAGGAATGCCAGAGGCCCAGGCAGGGAGACTAATCTGAGTGTTGAAGTCCTACCTCTGATTTTGCATGTTATCTGGTGTGCTTTCTGTCTCCTCTTAAGACTTTCTCAAATAAACTCCCCAAATAGTACAACGGCCAAAGCCCCAAAAAGCTGATATATTATGCCTCCTCCGAAAGATGTTGCAAAGCACTTCATAGTTACATAGTTAGTCTGGCTGAAAAATGTTCATCCAGTTCAACCATTAAAAAAAAAAGTTAGAATCCTATACCCACAGTTGATCCAGAGGAAGGCAAAAAACCCAGCAAAGCATTATTCAATTTGCTCCTGCATGGGAAAAAAATTCCTTCCTGATCCCCTGAGATGCAATAGGATATTCCCTGGATCCGCTTTACCTATAAATGTTAGTAACCAGTTTATATTCTGTGTATCCAAGAAAGAATCCAGGCCTTTTTTAGAGCAATCCACCAACTCTTGAGGGAGTCTATTCCATATTTTCACAGCTCTCACTCTGAAGAAACCTTTCCATGTTTGGAGATTAAATTTATTTTCCTCCAGACGTAAAGAGTGTCCCCTGTGATGATCTCAGGGTGAATAATTCTACATGAAGTTCACTATATGAACCACTGATGTAATTATACATGTTGATCATATCCCCCCTTAATCTCCTCTTCTCAAGAGAGAATAAATTTAGTTCCTCTATCTTTCCTCATAGTTGATCTCCTCCATGCCTCTTATCAGTTTGGTTGCCCTTCTCTGTACTATCTCCAGTTCCTCAATGTTCTTTTTGTGAATTGGTGCCCAAAACTGAACTGCATATTCCAGATGAGGTCTTACTAATGATTTGTACCGGGGTAATATGATATCTCTCTCTCTGGAGTCTATACCTCTTTTAATACAAGAGAGGATTTTGCTTGCTTTAGAAACCGTAGCTTGGCATTGCATGCCATTATTAAGCTTGTGATCTACCAGAACCCCCAGATCCTTCTCCACCATTGATACCCCCAGTTGTACCCCCCTAGTATGTATGGTGCATGCATATTCTAAGCCCCGAGTGCATCACCTTACATTTATCTACATTAAACCTCATTTGCCACATAGTTCCCCAATTAAACAGTGCATTGAGGTCGGCTTGTAAGTTGAAGACATCCTGTAAGGGCGTTATTCCACAGCACAGCTTGGTGTCATCTGCAAAGACTGAAATGGTATTTTTAATCCCAGGCTATAAATCGTTTATAAATAAATTAAAAAATAAGGGTCCCAACACTGAGCCTTGGGGTACACCACTGACAGCCCTAGATCATTCAGAGTATGAATCATTAACTACTACTCTTTGAATACGATCTTTTAGCCAGTTTTCTATCTATTTACATACGGATTTTTCCAGGCCCGTAGACTTTACCTTACACATTAGCCGTGTGTGGGGAACTGTGGCAAATGCTTTTACAAAATCCAAGTATACCACGTCCACCGCCACCCATCTGTCCAAGGTTTTGCTCACCTCCTCATAAAAAGAAATCAGATTTGTTTGACAACTTCCCAAAAGCAAATTGCGCCTGCCAAATCATTGGTAGACACTTTCACCTGGTAACCATTAAGTCAAATTGCAGCCAGCAGCGCCATCCTCTGCACCTGATACCTTGGTGGTGGTGTGTTGACAGATATAAATAGAGATATATATATATATATATATATATATATATATATATATATATATATATATATATATATATATATATATATATATATACTGTATGTCCACCAGTGAACTAGAGCAAAATAGTTGGGTGTCGTCTGGACAGATATGGTACTGGTGGTATCCCTGGGAGGCTGACCCAAGGAGAAGCTGAAGATAGAAAATAGTGGGTGTCTGGGTCAGGGGATGGAGTTTTTGGGTACAACCAATGAAAGGGGGAAGAGGTAAAGTTCTAGGTGACATTGAAACTGCACGAAAAGAAGAATCAGCCAAGAGCAGAGTCTTGGAGGCCAAGGGAGTGGGGATTTTTGAGGTGGAATGGGTGATCAACTGTATCAAAGGCAGCTAAAAGATCTAAGGTTAAGTGTATTGAGTAGTGGCTATTATTAGTTTTATCAGACACTAAGCCATTAGTGAATTTTGGGAGGACAGTTTCTGCAGAGTGTTGAGGGTAAAAGCCAGATTGAAAAGGCTTAAGAATGTGGTTAACGTGAGGTGGTAGTTCAGATGGTTGCAGTCTAGGCATTCTAGAAGTTTGGAGGTAAATTAGAGAAAGTAGAAGGGTTTTAGGTTTTTCAGATGGGTGAAGTGAGGGCTTTAGATGGGTGGGGAAAATGCCAGTAGAGCAAGAGAGATTGAAGATGTGAGTTAGAGGGTGAATAAAAGAGCAAAAAAGTGACCACTGTAGTTGTGAGGGAACACAGGGTTCAGGGGGCAGGTGGTTAGGTGGGTATTCCTCTGTGGTAACAAGGTCAAAGGTAGAAAGTTTTGAAAGTGTTTTGTAGATGTAGTATATTAACTATGGGAGATATCTGGACAGTGGAGATCTCATCATGGTTTAAATCTGAATTTATGAAAGATTTTCATATGAACATGGTAAGGGATAGAAACAAAATACTGAACAAACAGATAACACATCCAACCTATCCTACCTATTGTAACAAATAAATGGAAATTGTATCACTTACTGGAGCATGGGAAGGTCACACAAGATTTAAAAATAAATACATTTTTTTTATATATATATATATATATATATATATATATATATATATACACTGCTCAAAAAAATTAAAGGAACACATCAAATCTCAATGGGAAAAATCATGTTGGATATCTATACAGATATGGACTGGGTAATGTGTTAGGAACATAAGCATGCCCCATCGTTTGATGAAAATGATCAACCTACAGCGGAATGAATAAAGACACCCCGAAATTTAAAGTTAAAAAAATTATGCAGCAGGCTAGTCCATTTTGCTGAAATTTCAATGCAGCAACTCAAAATGGTACTCAGTAGTTTGTATAGCCCCCACGTGCTTGTACTGTATGTATGCCTGACAAGGTCAGGGAATGCATCTAATGAGACGACGGATGGTGTCCTGGGGTATTTCCTCCCAGATCTGGACCAGGGCATCGCTGAGCTCCTGGACAGTCTGAGGTGCAACCTGGAGACATCGGATGGACTGAAACATGATATCCCAGAGGTGTTCTATTATATTTAGGTCAGGCGAGCGTGAGGGCCATTCAATGGTATCAATTCCTTCATACTCCAGGAACTGCCTGTATTCTCTCGCCACATGAGGCCGGGCATTGTCATGCACCAGGAGGAACCCAGGACCCACTGCACCTGCATAGGGTTTGACAATGGGTCCAAAGATTTCATCCCAATACCTAATGGCAGTCAGGGTGCCATTGTCTAGTCCCCAGGTGTGAAACTGGTGGCCCTCCAGCTGTTGACAAACTGCAAGTCCCATGAGGCATTGCAAGATTGACCGTTACAAGCATGACTCCCAAAGGTAGAGGCATGATGGGACTTGTAGTTTCGCAATAGCTGCTAGTTTGACATCCCTGGTCTAGCCTGTAGAGGTCTGTGCATCCCTCCATGGATATGCCTCTCCAGACCATCACTGTCCCACCACCAAAACGGTCATGCTGAACAATGTTACAGGCAGCATAACGTTCTCCATAGCTTTTTCAGACCTCTTCATGCCTGTCACATGTCTGTCAGGGTGAACCTGCTCTCATCTGTGAAAAGCACAGGGCGCCAGTGGCGAAACTGCCAATTCTGGTGTTCAATGGCAAATATCATCGAGCTCTATGGTGCTGAGCCATGAGCACAGGGCCCACTAGAGGACATCGGGCCCACTAGAGGACATCGGGCCCTCGGGCCACCCTCATGAACTCTGTTTCTGATTGTTTTGTCAGACATTCATACCAGTGGCCTGCTGGAGGTCATTTTGTAGGGCTCCGGCAGTTCTCATCCTGTTCCTCCTTGCACAAAGGAGCAGATACCAGTCCTGATGGGTTAAGGACCTTCTACAGCCCTGTTCAGCTCTCCTAGGGTAACTGCCTGTCTTCTGGAATCTCCTCCATAATCTTGAGATTGTGCTGAGAGACACAGCAAACCTTCTGGCAATGGCACTTATTGACATG